AGCAGTACGCCCACTACCGTTCTTCCTCCTCTCTACGCTTGCTACCAGAGCAGTCCAAAGATTCATAGTCTCGTTCTTCCTCAACGTCTTGGCATACTCGTAGTTTCCAGTCGTGAGGGTGCCTTTTGAGGTCGTGTTGGCATGAGAATTGAGTGTTGGTTTGGCATCAGCTTCAACAACCGGGAAGCCGCTTTCTACAGGCGTATGTATGCCGAATTTGTTTCCCCATTTGCACTCGGATGGGTAGTCACACGTATTCCAACAGTCTTTTTTCTTTGTCGGAATATCTCCATCTTTTGTGCCAGCGGACGAGCCAGTGTCCAGAGCAGCTTTGTTCCTGGGACCGTCTCTTCGCCATCTGCTCCAGTTCTTCCAGCCAGAATAGTCAAATTCGCTGTTGCAGGCACCATGTTTCTTTGTACGTCGTACATAGTTTGATTGTCGCCATGCCTTTACAGTGGTTGTACCGCTACAGTAATAATGTCCGTCTTGTAGGCAACGCCTTGTGACGTTCAAGCGGTAGCTACAATGACAGTGGTGACATGTCCACGTCCAAGGTAAGGGAGTTGGTGGTAAATCTTCCGTAGACTTTGTGCCCGTTTTTGAACCTTGCTGGCTCCCTTTCTGAACTGATTGTTGGAATGGCGCTGTGGGTGTGAAAGGTGGACGTGGTGAGAAGGGCGATGGTGGAATCGACAAGAAAGAAGATTTAAAAGGCGCTGGGGATATTCTTAGAGAACTTCGCATCTTGGGATCTGATAGGGTGGGTCGGGCCTTTGACAAAATAACTGCTTATCCCTGGAAGTGTGTCTTGTTACACTGCGAACACAAGAAAAACTTCAAAAGTGAGGGTAATCGCAATCGTGGGGTGCTTGTCAGGAAGGGTTTGCAAAAGATGAGGACTGACAGAGATGTTTGTTTCTTGCTGTTAAGGAGAGCGTGTCTCTTGTAAAACCAACACGCCGATCACATCCTGTCACGGGTTTCAAGACGATTGTTCTCATGCAAAGAATGGAGAGGCGACAACTGGATAGTGGATAAAGACGGGCTCGATAACAGATCTTTGTTGTCATCAAGTAGCACCATGTCCCGGTGGTGCAACAGCGGTTCTTTGTCAAGGAAAGCCATTCGAGCGTCAGCTGCATCATCTTCGAACACACATGCGCTTTGTTTAGAAGGCGCGCAAGCCCACAAAACCTACCCTAGTGGCCTGGGTTTATTTCTGCCACTGAGTACTTGTACGTATCAGCGAGGTAAAATGTTTCTATTCCGGATTGGAATCACGCTATCGGTCAAGCTGTTTTGTGTTGCAAGCCGGCGTGATTCCCTAGTTAGCCGGTTAGGAGCACTGAATAAACCTTACATCTGGGTTGGCACGCAAACTCGCTTATATTTGTTGCATGGGTGTGTATTTTCGTCCAACTTGATGCAAAGCACGTCTAGAGTTTCACCAAATCTCGGCTCAGTGACGTGATTACTTGGCTGAAGATGGAGTGATGTGGGAGGGGTCATGGCAGGCTGCAACGCACAGGGTGCACTCCCATTGTCACGTGCCCTTTGCAATAGTAACAACGACAACGACTCGTACTAGGTTCGCCCCACATGCATTCCCGAACGCGTGGAACACACCCAAGACATTTCTCACCGAGAACATGTTTCATAGCCCCAATATTGTCTTGGAGGACACGAAAGCCATTCCCGCTTGTGGAATCAATGAAATTCCCTCCCACTCGGCATCCCACCCTGCATGTGCTCCTATATTACTGACGCTTGCCAGCCCACGCCCACTCCTTGGAAACGAGGCTCTAAAAAGGAGCGGTTCTGAGATGCATGGAGCATGTACTTTTTTTGTGAAAACCCGCGATTCCGCTTTTGTTATCGATTAGAACTACCTAGTAGTAAACGTTATGGAGCGCCGTAACTGGCTTTACGGATGGATGTTGAAAGAAAAGTTGCATGGGAGCAAAGACGCGCGTATAGGAACAGTAAGCACAACCCCGACGGCATGTGAAGCGCATGCAGCATGCAATGATACTTTCTTGGCACGACAAGGAGATTGTGATATCGCTATTGGTATGGTGTGTATACTACTGTAAGTATGTGTATCTGTGCATGTGGACTAACAGCCATCGTTCTTGAGAGGATTCGATGCCTAGTTCAGCTATTGTGCTTAGCTGCAAGCCTATCGCGGTAGATTGACATCATCCCCACGGCGGAGTCTGGGGTACAGCGATATGATAGGGCCTAGGCATGGGCGATCACCCATGTGGAGGAGTGGGAGATGATAAGCATCGACACTGCGAGTACGCTTGGCAGCGGAAGATATATCGTTGACCGGACGAATCGGTAGGCATATTGTTCATGGACTGATAAGGTTGCGCTGGGCATGGGCGCGTGAGCACAGCCTCCTCGTACGTGCAATCCAACAGGGACATTACTTAGAGCAGCGTGCATCGGGAGTCTGACAAAGGCAGGGGCAAAGGGCCGATTTGGAAATTTAATGATGAGCTCGTTCTTGAATTATGTACACTACATTTGTAAAAGAAAAGATTGGTTCAGACATCTAGAAAAAATAGAACAAAAAGCTCAGCGCAAAGACCAGAGCGCAGGTGGTATCTCGAAACAATTTGACTTTATAAAGTCGGAAGCAGCAAAATCCAGATCAATACAAATACAAAAGCTTAGGTCTTGACCTGCTTTTCGTTGTTGTGCTCGGGACCCATGGCAACCGCATGCCTGTCCCCGCCAATGCCAGTGTGGTCATGGTCATGGCTGGAGTTCTCCGAGGGCGCCTTGCCCTCGAGCATCTGGCTGTGCTGGGGAATACCGTGGCGTTCTCCTTGAGGCACCGAGTGTTCACCATCGAGGGGAGCACCCTTGGCAGGGGTCCACGCAAGATAGTCACGGCGGACCTCGACGTAGTCGTAGGCGAACTCGCCAAGTTGGTCGTCATCCATACCAAGAAGCTCGGCCTCTTCGGATGCGCGAAGCTTCAGACCAGGAATCTTGTCGATGACAAAAGCGAGGATAGCGCTGACGACAAACGAGTAAGCAGTGCAAGCGACAATATAAGCAATCTGCTTATAGACAGCGGGCGCGTCGCCAGTAATGGCACCGGCGGTCAGTCCGTTGTTGACGCCGTCAAGCCCAATGATGTAGTTGGCACCAAAAATGCCGTTGAAGAACAGTCCCCACATGCCGGCGACACCGTGCTCAGCGAACACATCGAGAGAATCGTCGATCTTGATCCAGAACTTGACTACAGGGATGTTAGAAAATGACGTAAGATTGATGCTTAGTGTTCGACTTACTCTTGGTGGCAAAGTTAGCAACAATGCCAGTGGTGATACCGAGGACAACGCTGGCCCATGGGGGGATGAAACCAGAGGCGGGAGTAGCAGCAACGAGTCCAGAAATGGTACCTGAGCACCAGCCAACCATGGACCACTTGCGAGCAAGACGCCAATCAAGAATAACCCAGGTCATAGCGGCAAACATGGCGGTAAGGTTGCTGTTCCAGCAGGCCATGACAGCGCGGAGATTGGCACCGAAAGCAGAGCCGCCGTTGAAGCCCAACCAGCCAAACCATAGGAATACGGTTCCGAGAGTGATCAAAGAGACGTTGTGGGGGCGGAAGTTGAGCATCATCTTTTCCTGGCGGCGTCCGAGAATCATGGAGTAGGCCAAGGCGGTGCATCCAGACACGATTTCGACAGGGCCGCCACCAGCATAATCCAGGCCACCCCATTTGAAGAACCAGCCGTTTGCGTTCCAGGCCCAGTAAGCGACGGGGCAGTATACGATTGTGGCCCAAAGCCAGATGAAGACCATCATGGGGATCAAGCGACCGCGCTCAGCAACGCAACCGACAACAATAGCAGCAGTGACAGCGCAGAATTGTAGCTATGAGCCTGGTTAGCATGTCTCTTGTGGGTTATGATGAAATCTGCCGTACCTGGTAGAAAGAGTACAGCAACTCAGGAATCAGAGGACTACCCTGGCTAGGCGCACCGAGGACGCCCTTGAGACCAAACTTGTCGAGGTTGCCGATGAAGCCATTTGTGGAAGGGCCGAACGCGAGCGAGTATCCCCAAAAGTACCATTGGAAGGTGATGACGGAGGCGGAGAACATGCACGCCCAGATGAGGGAGAGGGCGGACTTTCTGCGAGCAAGACCGGAGTAGAGGAAAGCTAGACCAGGAACCATGATCAACACCATGGCCGAAGCCACGAGGATGTAGGCCTGGTCACCCGCCTGGTACCATTGGTTGAGATTCTCGGTGACTACAAATATACATGTTAGTATGCTTGCTGGTATGTTTTGACTTTGATTGCACAATGTGCTGCGCGCAACACGGGTGTCGGGCGCGGCACGTGCTTAATGGTGGTACATGGAGACTTGAACTGACCAGAATCACCACCAGTAACGGCATTGGTCCCATTGAATTCTGCGGGAGCGCCGATCCATGAGTGCGACATGGCTACGGAGTTTGCTGGGGAACCGGCCAAGTGGTAAGGATATCAGGGGGGGACTTGGAGAGGTAGGCGGAGGGAAGAGCAGTCTCACAAACAGGGCGTATGGAGAGGAAATGAACAGAGGATATAAAGGCTGGATCGGTACCAGTAATATACGGGAGCACCAGGGAGAAACCGGAAACCCTACTGTAGATTACAATGGTTGCGCCGGGGCCTTTATGGATGAAGGGCTGACTGTGCTACTCTTATCTATCCTGGTCCACGGACCAGCTCTCGAGGCAAAATAGACGAGGGTACATCAACCCACAGGCGCGCGACCGCCGTGGGGTTCGCGCCAGATCCAGAGCTTGATCGCTTTTTTTGCCGGTCGATGTCGAGCTGCGTCATGGTAGGCGTTTGGCCTTATCTCGCCGCGAGCGGAAGCGTGACGGGGCGGGTTAGATAATGGGACCAACACCCACCTAGCGGCAGCATTGCGGATTGCTGTGAAGGACAGCCTCGCACCGTGGCTCTTTGTCGGCGACTCAAAACGATTTCTCACAGCCACGGGAGGCATTGTCCGCCATGTCTGGGGGCGGGAGTGCTTGGCGAGTGGGAGGCTCCATGTTGTGTTGTGTCAATTGCATTTCATGCCAGAGATAAGCATCCAACGGCGGCCAATCACGGTCCACATCGGAGCGATAGGCCGCTAGCTCGATTCGGCCTCCTGCCTGAACCCGGCCGTCCCCTGCGACGCCATCGTGTCGACGCCCACAGACGCCCTCCCGTCCCTGACCACGCCTGGCGATGCCCACTCACACTCGTCCATCGATGCGATAAGCCCGAGGATGCCTCGTTTGAGACGCTGCCCGTAATACCACAGCTTCGCAATTGCCTCGCTCGCGCCACACGGTTTCCTGCCAGAAGTTGCCCAAGTCGCCGGCGCCCAACAAACCTTCATGAAACCCAGCCTGTGAATACTCGGCAGCCATCTTTGGCGCTACGCCGTGCACGCACGCCCTGCCCGACGACCGACATGTCAGCAAATCGCTTGCCGTTGAGCACAGAGACGGCCCTGTGTCGCTGGTACCAGACATGACCGTGCTCACCGTCGTACCAGACGGACAGTTTTTCGTCTCCTACTGCATGTGCTGCATGTACAGTACATACGTAGTGTCCAAAATCCCGCCATTCGGTCATCCAGGCGGTCGCCATTCTTGGTTCCAGTGAGCCGGTTCTCTTGCCGCCTCAGGAAGAAACCCTATTGCGTGGCTTACATCGATCTGCCCAGGAACGCCTGTCATATGTCCTGGCCGGCAGTGGCGCGCCTTTGCACAAGCAATTACATATCCCATGATTCCCTGTCACAATATTGAACAGTCAGCAACACTAGAAGAATGCCACAAGCAGCTGAAAGCCCTCGTAGTAAGTATTCTTTTGCACACCAACCCTGGCCAACGGGCCATACACACTTACATATCGTACGTACATAGTATGGTATGTATGTATACCTATGCCTACAGCAGGGTCCGACTGCGGACCAGTCTTTCTTCCACCTGCCGTACCCATTCGGCAGCTCTTGTCGGTAAACTGTCGTGAAAGCATGTGAGTCTCGCTAGAAGCGAGAGAGTGGGGCTGTGTCGACCTCTCCACGAGCCCGCCACGGCGGTGACGCCTCAGGTTCATAAAGCGTGGGGAAGCTCAACTTGGGGCTCGGTACTGCGGGACTACCGGCTCGTACGCGACTATCCCCGTTGCATTGATTGTTGTGTCCTATATCGGCGTCATTGAAATGTGGGATGATGGTTATCTCTACGTATCGCGCCTTGTGCAATTTCACCACGTTTTCGAAAGATTCCAGAACCCGCCGGCCCAATGGCCGTACTTCCGGCTTCGGAGCCCTGACTGTGGGTTTAGAGTAACCTTGGATCGCATCATTGGCGCATCGGGCTACCCTATCATTTCTCTTACTACCAATCTTAGCTGACTTTGCTAACCTTGGGCCAATGACAGGTCTTACACAGATAGCTTTGTGTCTGAACCGCTTTCGACCTACTAGCTGTTAGTTTGCCCTTCAAATGGCATGTGCCCTTTCCAGCAATATTGCTTGTGAAACTCCACGCTCACAGTCTCCAATTTCGATTTGCAGTATGGCGATACTAGCAGTCCGTCTTCTACATTCCTATCGTCTTACTCTTCTACGGGCATGGGGGGTCTACAACACTCCACGCTCGTTGTATGAAACCAAAGCGCCCCAGCAACCTGGCTATCTCTCGCCCAACATTATTGAACGTAACGTGTCAGCTTTTGGCCACTGACCAACTACGTGGAGATCTGACAGCAGCAAAAATCTCCACGATGTTCCGCATATGGATTCGGCGTTTCGTATACGAAATAAGGTCTGGCCACCAGTATCACAACACTCCGATTGCTGGTGGTACCCCGGCCTCCCCACTACACTCCGCGTACGCCTACTTACTTGCCGCCAATCCTGGGCAAGGGGAAAAATTCAAGAGTCAAGACCGTCATACTGCTCAAGGTTTCTTGACGCCCAATATCTAATCTGAACCTTGTAGCTGGGGCGGCGACAACAATCTCTCAATCTCTCTGTAATCCAATCAGGCCGAAGCGCGTTCACCCCACACTTCAAACCCCACACTAACATCGCTGGGGCTGATGAATATGGGATCCTGGCTCACATGCAACATTCAGCCTCAAAACAGAGTTGCTTTTGAAGAATGCCGTCAGCGGGCATGATCAAGCAAGTACACGTAAAGGCCCAAGAGCTGCATGATAGTAATCTTGTTTTGGTAGGGTGTTACTACAGGGGAATCTTAGGATACAGGGTTGATAAAAGGAAAAAAAGGTTTCATCATCAGCTTTGCTTTTGTCGAATCAACTGCCGACTGATGCGCCCTCGCCCACGCCTCGACTGTAGGTTTCTCGCCAGAGCCTAAAACAACGCAGTGCCCAGCAAAGTACCGCCCAAAAGTCCAGCCGCAAGAGGGAGTCCAGCACCACCTCCGTAGCCGTAACCGTACGGCCTACCGTAAGGTGTAACCGGACGCATATATCGCACACCGGGGCTGTAATACTGACGTGGGCCATATGGGTTGTATCCGTATGCTCCACTTGGTGCATAGCGCCCATGAGGTGGTTCAATGTACACATCCCTGCCCTGTCGGTCTTTTCCTATCAGTTGCGGCTCCCCTGTCTCCATGGCACGAATGATTGCTTGTCGTGTGCGCATATGCTGAAGATATGCCTGACGCTCCTCCTCTGCACGACGTTGACGTGCTTTTTCGCGCTCTTCATGCGTCTGACCTGTAATTTTGTCCTTGAGCCTTCTGGAGAACTTGTGAATGCCCGTTGGTTCGCCAGGCGCAGCGGCACCTTTACCCTTGGATGTCGGTCGTGGTGGGAGGTGATCCTCCGTATCCGAGTCTTCAGCAGCAAGGTCCTCCATTGTCATTGTCTTATGCATGCGAGTGTGCTTGTTGCGCTCTTCTGGACTGAGTGTGCTGAGATACTGTTCATCGTCGTACGGGTGCGTCCATATACTCCGTGGAGGGTTTGCTCGTGTGTCTACAAAGAATTGATGCTGAGTCTGTTCGTCAAATGAGCGGATCCAGCCAGGAGGCAGCTCGCGCATCAAGTCCTCCATAGAACGCCGTCGGTCGGGGGGAATGCCATTGCGCTCGGTACGCGCCGCGGGCCCGTCTGTAGAAACGCGGCGAATGCCAGGCGAAGGGTCTGCATCGAAGATGGCGGCTTCGTAGCTGGGAGGGGGCTCGTTTGGATGTTGCGAGGTTGTCATGATGTTTGGAGAGAGTGTTGGGATGTGTTAGGTGTAGATGTATCTATAACAATGAATTGAATATATCAATCACTGAGGTAGACTCGAACTTGGAACTTGATTCAGGTACAGGTACGTAGGTATGTAATAGTGATCACATCGTTTGTGCCACACAGAAGTGGCGAGAATTAGAATGATGTCATCTGTGGCTATGAACTGTCGGAGTTAAAACCGTACCAGTGCCAAATTCCGAAGCTACACTCCATGTGATCTTCGCCACTTTCCTCGCGACATGTGACCTCACCGCTCCTGTCACCAGACATGATTCTTTCTAGAAGGAACATCCATGCGCGTAATACCCACTAATTTCTCATGGAATCCACACTCCATGCACGACGCCGACGAGAGCATGTCAAACGCTGGAGTGAGAAGTCCATCTAAGCACTGACTCTCCACCAACTCTCCACCTCTCCGCCATGTGCGCTCGTCACACTTCAGTTTTCCCCGCAGAGTCTCCACCAACCCAAAAAGCGCGTGCGCCGTCCATATCACGAGATACTAAACGGCAAGCCTAGCGGTCGTTTTGACAGTCTAGTATGGCGCACTCCAACGCTTCCGGGCCCTTAGACCTTGGTGGCTGCACCATCAAGTCATGGCTTTTGGATTTTGACGGCAGAGTAACATCATGAGTATCGACTAGCCAAGCATCCTACTACTCATGCTTGTTGTTGATCTCTTGATTTCACGATCAGGCATCGTGTTCGGGCCGCCGCCTTCGGTTATCTATCTCCCAGTATGAAAAAAGATGGAACTAGTGGCGCTTTTGTAATTCAACGGGAGTTCATTCTACCTCGAGAATGTATGAGAACCCCCCTCGGTATACCTTTGTTTTCAGAACATACGGGGGCGGGGAATGCTGCCCAACTCCACAGTGGCCAAGCCAAAGACGGTGGTCATATGGCACATACCGACGACGTTCCCGTTAGGACCCTGAATTCTGCTTTGCTTAGCGTAACTTCCGCACGTTGCGCCCGCCTCCAGCCATCCGAGACGATCTTACCTGTACGTTAGTTGGTTTGCAAAACCGCTTTTTCATGTTTGCGACTAGAGCGGTGAGTCTGTCTCGCAGCATGTCGTGTGGTCATAAGAATCTGCCACCGATCTGCAAGGAACTGTGTGCAGTGAAAGATGCGTCTAGTGACTGTGAGCCCTCCGAATCTGTTCACTGAGTTAACTTTACATCGCATGAAATGCTGAAAGACCATAGACACAACTCAAACGCCCATAATCTCAAGATTGAAACACACCGCTTTGTAGGGACAGTGAGTAACAAAGACAGTCAGTGAAGGGCATCCCTTCGGACCGTGAAGAAACTGCGCGCTTACGCACTCAAAATTGAAGGATGTGAGAATACTGGTACACTAAATGCTAGAGCAGTCAGAGGCCTTATGTACCGACAGCGAAGACGTACGCACGGCTGAAATCAAGATTATATGGGGTAAACTAGTTGTTTGTTAGTCTAAAATTCTTTTACACCTGAGCTCCATGTCTCAGTTGCGGATCGTGACCTTCCTGAAGTAGGAATTCTCACCGGGCGAGCACGCGACAAGGGGGTAGAGTCGAGGCGGTATTATCAGAGCTCCCAATGTTATATAATGCCCCTTTGCTCTTCAATATGAACTCCATCAATCAAAGCAGAACCCGGGTGGTTTACAGGATCAATCATCTGCTTCTGATTCTTCAAGCCTGTCTCGTTTGGTTCTTCTCCCGTCTTCACCTACGTCTTCACCAGCCACTATGGCGAAGTTGACTTCTTTCTTATTGGCTTCGGCCTACCTGGTCTCTTCGGGTCACAGTATTCCCCTCCGGGATGCGAAGAGAACACAAGATGTCCTTCACGCTCGTCAGATCGAATTGTCCGATGTTCCTGTGACTACAAGCTACAGTTCAGCCATCCAAACAGTACAATCACCCACTGCTACTGTCGATTCATCAGCCACCGGGGTACTACTCCATCCAGAATATCTTACCAAGACTTTTTCACTAACACGTCACAGAGCTTTATCACAGGGCTTCCTTCAGGCGGCTTTACAAGAGACCCTATTCGTGGTCCAGGCGCCTCAACCGCCACCAAGCCATTGTCTCCAAGCTCAACCTCACTAAAGCCTGGTCCTACATCAGTGAACAGGATTTCTTCAGGCGATATTTTCCAGGCAATTGACAACGCAGCACCTCCTTCATACATACCTTCTCGCAATGACCATCCTGTTCGCAAACAGTTCATTGAGGATGGTGATGTACCAACTCAGACGAACAAGTTTCACGCAAACTTCTTTCTCGGTACCCAGTCGTTCCCAGTGTGGACACACCCCTACTCCCTATGCTGGGCCAAAGGGTTTGGCGGCTCTTACGGTACGTGAAATGGTCACCTCTTGGCTTGAGACATTGCTAATTTCGACTCTTCAAGGCATTGCTGTCAGTCACACGGTTAGGGACCAATTTGCTTTTGGACCCTCCATTGACAACCCACGATACTTTATCTCACCCCTTGGTATCCAACACATTGTTCTTTCTGCAGCCGAGCTTGGGCAGGATACCAAGCTTTCTGTTCAGAACCTCGGCAGTTTCTCTGCAAATGCCAATTTGCGAGCTAGCTCCGGATCTAAAATCCTGATGTCAGTACCCGTGGTTCAGGGTATGGGTATGGCAACCGCCATCTATGCCGGTGCCAGACCAGTCCTCAACAGCAATGTGTTCTTCCGTTCTCTGTCATATGTTGGATCGGTCAATGGAGGAACCTACAAGTACAGGATCGTCCTCAACGACGGCACTTGTTGGCTGCTTTATGCTACATCAGCCAGCGCTGTTGGTGTCATTCCCTTCACGCTGGACAGCACTGCCAAGATCAGTGGTCCAGCAAACTTCATCGGAACCATCCAGGTCGCCAAAAACCCTTCAGGCCAAGACATGGAGAGCGTTTTTGACAAGAGCGCTGGTGCTTACGCCACTGACGCTGCCCTTTCCGGATCAGTCAATGATGCGTCTGGAAGCTACTCCATTAGCTGGACCAAGAGCGGTGTGACTAGCCAAACTTTGCTCATGTATGCGCTGCCACATCACGTGGAATCATTTGATCAACAGACTCAATCGGCTCTCAAGAACATCACACTTGTCACCACCACCAAGGGCTTTGCTCAGGCCATTCTTGCTGACAAGATGACCATGGTTGAGAACGATCTTCCCAACACAATTGGATTTGCTCCCTGGTCGAAGAACGCCAACGGCGCTGGAGGCTCCCAGAGGACTGCCCTTAGCTCGCAGGCTACTACACTCATCAACCAAGTCGGCGTTGCTGAACTCAACCAGGACATGATCCCCCAGACTTCATTGAACAGCATGTACTACTCGGGCA